GGACTCGTACCGCGTTACCGTTACACGGTGCACCCGTACGCTGCTCGCCTAAAACCTCCGTTCATTTTACGAGGCGATAAATCCTCGTTTAAAAGCAACCGAGAACGTCACCGTGCGTGATCGATTAGGTCGACCGCCCAAACGTACAGCGGACCCGGATTACCGGACGTTTCCTCGGAATACGCGTTTGCTCGCGATCATCGGGAAATCGGCTCGCTTATCGATGATTCGTCGATGAATTGTCGGGGCCGGAACAAGGGAAAACACGAGCAGAGTGTATCTGCGGTTACGCCAATGGTTTACCGTGTAAACGAGCCATTAGTGCTCGTGACAACGACACGTCCCCGTGCTGTACACCCTCTACCTTCATTGGCGTGCGGTTAACCTTTCCAAGCTCACCGACGTAATTATAAAGCAATGCCGCGACGTCGTTGTTCTATTTACAGTGCCGATGCGCCAGACCAGAGAATCGCATCTGCCGCATATGCAGACATTTTATTTAACCGCGCAACGTTTCGTCCTAATTCTCCGATCCAGTCGCGAAACGCAACCGTCCTCCCTTACCTTACTTATCCTCGTAAATGTAAATGTAAAAGAGCCGTATGTTCTCGTCGAAGGAAAAACTCGTTTACGGGTAGCTGCTCCGCGCCATCGTCGGCTAACGAGGCGAATCATGTTGTTTATCGTAAGGCGAATCTCCGAAAAGTTTAAAAACCTCAGACTTCGGCCGAGTCGTAGCGGTCGCGTGTACTCGCGAGTGAAGCAGAGCTTTGACGATTCTGTCGAAAGAGATCTGGATACTCGCTGCAGCTGCAGGCACGATGGATGTTAATTGGAAAGAGGAGAAAAAAGAGACAAAAAACAATCGACCAGAGGAGCGTTGGAAGAAGATACAGCACCGCGGCAGCAATTTTCCGCTGCACCGCCGCGCCGTTTTTATCCGCCGCGATATCATCCCCTCTTTGCTTCGTCCATCTGCCCCGCTAAACCATTCACCGGATATTCCACCGACTAACGCAGCCACCCCTTTGTATTTTCTTTTCTCGTCCCCTTTGTTCTACCATCCTATCGAGATCTTTGAGTCGCAACTGCTGACGGATTGCTCCTCGACGCTGTTCGATTCTTGATTCGATCGCGAGTAGTTTATCCGTCGCGGATAAGCGAATAAATTCGCTGCGACCGTCATCCCTATCCTCGGCTCTCCAAATCGCTGTACGTCTCTTCCGTTTGCCCGCGAGCTTCTCCGCTGGAATTCCATTTTCCATCTTGGTGAGTCGGTATCGTTGAATTTTCCTCGTTGAATTTTTCTTATCGTTCGAATTACCGTTGCTGACGCATTCGTCGCGAGCGAACGACGAAGAAACAAACACGAGCGTTCGATCGTTCTTTTTTTTTCTCTTCACTAAACTAAGGAAACGTTGACGAAACGTTTATCGAGAAGTAGTTACGACATTCTGGTGCTTTGGGAAGATTTTCCAAGAAACATCGTCTGAAATCGGTGCCACTGAAAATTGGCACGTCTCTCCGATTCGACGATTTCTTTGCGAATGGTGCCTGGCCAACGACGACGACGACAACGGTGCCGATATTGTTCGGGACAAAGAAGAAGCGGATAGAGATTATTCTTTGAATAGATATCGATGGTTGGCTCGCAGCCATTCCTTTTCCGCGACCTAACGTTTCTCCAAAGGCACGGTGTACGCGAGCTAAGCACTCTCGATTGATAGCTCATCTCGGAGTCAATGGGATACGAAATTGCTTCTCGAAGGAGAGAACTTCTCGGTAATCTTCATCCTCCGACTCTCGTAGATTTAGCCAAAATTCCATTAATCAAACGAAATTAATCGTTAAATAAGTCTGTCCGAGAATTTGCAGCGAACGTTGTCAACGGATCGGTCATATCGGACCCGAGTGTCTCTATTTTGTCAACAGTTACGCAGAGTGAAAAAATGTTTGTCTCAAGGATGTTGAAACCGTCTAGGAACGTTCAAATCAACAATCGTTGCAAAATAGTCGACCTGAGACATAGTATAGTCAGCGTTGCACTTGAATTTGCATCGTTCACTCAGACTTGTATCGAGCGAGTCCTGTCTCGCGAAGCGTCTCACACGACGCTCGAAGGTCACTGTTTCGCGATGAGAAATACAGGAAATCTTGTGTCTCGAGCAAAAAGCGAACGCGGACCTTCGGATTGCGGTAAACGTAATTACGGTGAAAGAAAAAGCCTTCTTCGGATATCTAAAACGCGATCCCTCGTGCTCTTCTACTGCAGCGACGACCGATAATCGTGGCCAATAATCGAATCTGCATAATGGACGAACCGAATACGAAGGATTAGGTTTCTTCAGGCATCTGCCTGTATTTTGTGGAATGGCACGAGGCCAGAGACCAGTCGCCCCCTCAGTCAGGAAACCACGAATATCGTCTCTATTAAATTGCACTCACTTATAATAACGTAATTGGGATGGAATAATTTGATCATAGAAAAGCTGCCAAGAAAGCAATTTCCAATTTTCAAGTCCTACCTTTCGTCGCTGTTCGCTGTTCCATTTGGTTCGATCGTGAAACGGCAGAAGAAGAAATAAAACGAGAGAAACTTGAATAGAACTTGCTAGTAGAAACGATACTTTTTTTTCAAATTCGAACGAAAATTTCGGAAAATGGTCGAAACAGTGCAATTCGCTTCGGTTTCGTCAGAAGCGCGTGAAAAGGGCGAAAAATATGAATCGGAAAGCGAAGGACAGGAAACAGCGCGCGGAATACGTGATTTACGTTTTAAACGATTGAAACCTTTCACGCGTGACAAGCAAAAGACTGTGGGCCGAGAAGAATTTAAGAGAGCGAAAAGTTCGGGCAAACGTTAAAACTTGGTTGGTAGCTAAGACGGTCGACTGTCTCTTTCATTGGATCAAGTTCAACAATGTAGGGAAAGAGTAAAGTTCGTTGGAAAATTTCAAAAGTAGCAACCTTGACTCCGTACTTGATTTACACACGCGAATCGAATATTTCGAAAATTCCGCGGGTGTACGTATCGATACGAAATCTCCTACGCTGGCGTTCCAACGTTTGTTCCGCTACGCGAAAAGGCTCGGCTATTTTATTTTGTTTTTAATTCACCAAGTAGAACGGTACCTCGTTAACGTACGTGGGTTAGATTTCCATAGAACGAAGACTGACAGGTGTTTATTCCTCGACGAGGAATGTCTCGTTCGTTCGTTGGTCGAAAATTGAATCTGAAAATTTTCGAGAAATTACCGCCTTCCTTCTTCGTTCGGGAGACGATTCCTTCGTGAACCGGTATGACAGATATCTCGGCTCGAATTACGAATGCTTCGTAGCCCCGGAAGCTTAATCGAGAACGACTTGCATTCGAAGTTCGGTAACGGAGCGCTCGATTAAAATCTCTCGACCGGAAAAAGTAATCGAGCCGATTGATTTGCTTTCGACGGTCCCGAACGGCCGCCTTGAGGTTAATGAAACGTATTTTCCACTCAACAGGTGTCATAGGAGATAATCTAAATGCAGTCGAAGGGTTGAACGTTGAACGATGAACCGACCGTTAAGATAGTTGGCGCGAGCGAGAAACACGTTCGACAAATTCCGATAAACGGCGAAAGATTCGAATTTTTCGTTAGGAAATAACGCGCTGCGGCAGCGCCGTCGTTGTTTTTCACGGCAAGAAGAACAAGAAGAAAGTAAAAGTTACTCACAAGTAGCGGCGAGGAGTTGCGGAAGGTATTTCTTCCAAAAAGTGCACTGCCTCGCTCTAGGTCCGTTTCCGATTTCGGAACTGTTGGTATCCAACGTCAGGTATTCCTTTTTGGCGGCAGTGTGCGGTGGCCAATAGGTCTGCGTCCATGACTCGACATCTCCGACGTTCGGATCCCTAACACGACGGTAGTCAGCCGTTAGAGATGCGAAGAAAAGATAAAAGCTGTGATCGCTCTTCGACTTACCCTGTTTTTGCAAAGTTCGCCCAATATCTCATCATTCTCTTGGACAAATTTATCTCCTCGGGCATGTATCCTTTCGAAGAATCCAACGGCTCGCCAAAGATGTAGCTGATTTCGTCCGCGTGCATCACACCGGTCCATCTTGGCCATGGGTTGTTCGCCGATCTATGGATTTATGGAAAAGAAATCGGGGTCTCGTAAATATCGCGGTATAGGCGAAAGCCAGCCGAGATAAAGAAGCGAACACGTCCTTTTCGGACGAGTCGCATTGATCGTTTCGCCTACTTGTGATCTTTACTCCTTCTTTCCGATTCGATCGGACATGAATCTCACCTGTGTTTGTAATAATACATGTAAACGGTGTTCCCCGTATCGGCGTAACGGCCAGCAAATTCGTTCACGTTGCAAGTGAATTGATAGTCGCCGACGATTTTATCCAGGGCGTCGCGATTCATGTGAGGGTCGTCCGGACGTAGCCAGTCCGTGTACTCGTAGATAATGGCGTGCCTTCCGAACTGATTGACGTACGGATTTAATTCGGTAACGGCGCTAACGAACTGTTCCCTGCTGACTTTTACATCCTCGGCCATATCGATGCGAAACAGCTCGGTGAGATAGTAAATAATAAAGTAGAAACCTTCCTCGGTGTTCGAGCCCATCATGATGTTGGCCTTTTTGAAGGACGAGGTGGCCAGCGAGCGTTGTGGCGTCTCGTCGAGAAAGGCGCCGTCGATCACGGGAACGAACGGAAACTCGCAGATGCCCAGGGTGCCCCATTCGTTCTTCACCAATTCAATCGGATCCTTGATCAGCAGACAATCGATCACCTCTTGCAAGTTGTCGCGATCGTGAGGACAACCGACAGCTTCTGCCAATCGAATGCCGCGCATGATCGATTCCTCGCGCGAGATGATGGCCCATGGTGCTGTTGGAGAGCCAGACTGCATGATGGCTTGACTGAAGAGATGCCTGAAAGCCAGAGAAACACAGAATGGTGCCTCCGTTAAAAGTTGGCCAATCGTTTGGAAAATCGAAGCGGCCCTAAGTTCGAGACCACCACCCTCCTTGGTTTACGACGCGTATCGTCCAGCGGCAACTGGCGCTCGACCACAACGATATAATCGGCTGTTCGTCGAGGGGGTGATCTCCAACCGTCTATCGCGTAGCAGCGTCGATAGCAGTAGACATGGTAGCGGCAAGCAAAGAAACAAACAAAACAACGTAAAGTGACAAGGAGAAAAGGTATGCACCTTGATAGAGGCGAAAGGAGGTGCATAGAAACGGAAACGGCGCCCGCGCTCTCTCCGAACAGGGTCACGTTGTCAGGATTTCCGCCAAAGGCAGCGATATTGTCGCGGACCCACTGAAGGGCCATCATCTGATCAAACAGACCGGCGTTCCCAGGAACATCCGACGTTCCGAAGTACAGGAAACCCAGGCTGGCGACTCGATACTGCATCGAGACTAGAATCACATTCTCCTCGGACACCAGGGTTTTGTGATCGTAAACGTCGAGGGTCGCCGATCCGGAGTAAAAGCCACCTATAAGGATGTCGCGCGATTCCATCTCTCGAAAGAAACCTCTGCTTTCCAAATAGATCACACAGACGCACTCACGCACGCACGCACGCATGTACGCGCAAACACGATCAACCGAGTGTCAACTAGTGTCTGCGCCTATACACGGGATTTTTCGCAGACTCTCTTTTGCATTCCATCCGGATTAATTTCTTTCACATTGAGGAGCTTCGACTTCTTTTTGAACAACGCTTATTTCGTGACGGCCGCGCGCAAAGAAGCTGACGTTCGCGAACATTTCTTAAGCATTGCACGGAATATAAGTAAAATCGTAGCGAGGCAACGCTCGTACCTCGCCAAATAATTTCGTACGATCGAGCACCTGTTGGCGCGATGCAACTTCCGTAGCGGTGTAAACGGCTTTCTCGAGCGTTCTTCCGATCATTTAGATGAAGTTTGGGTGAAAAAATAGCCGTCCTAAAATAACGGCGCGCGACGAAAATAAGCGTTTCTCGTTAAGAAGCGACCACCTGTAAAAGAACGTCGACCGCTGGCGACGGTGTGCTCTAGTTTCCACGAGCATGTCTAGTCTAAGGATGTGAACAGGTGTCAGCTGGAACTCACCACCGAATATCCATACCATAACAGCGGCATTGGTAGGCCTAGGCCGTGGCGCGACCACGTTCACGTAAAGACAGTCCTCGCTCAATGGTGTGTTTGGATTCCACATAGTCGCACCTGCGAAGTCGCCGAACACCGTGTCCAGAATCTGCACGCAGCTATTCGGTAGCGTAGTTGCGTTTAGGGTTCCCGACCAACGTTCCGCCGGTCTCGGATGCCGGAACCTCAGAGCTCCTGCAACAGAATCCCGTCCCGTTTGTCTCCTCCCAATCTCTCGTCTCTCAAACGATCCAGTTCGATTCCTTTCCTGTTTTTCCTTTTCTCTTATCATTACCGTTCGATTTTTCCGTTACTTCTACCTAACGATCTTTCGGCCGTTTTTCAGAAAAAGAGAAAGTTTCGCGGGAAAGACTTTCGAGAAGAAAGAGAAAATTTCCGAGAATAGCTCTCCGGGAGTAATCGTCCGGGTGAGGTAGCGATGAAAGGTTAATCATCGAATTTTCCAAGGCGATAGATCAGTACAGGTTGAACCTACCGAGAGGTTTCTGCGCGTAAGGGATCCCGAACCAGGCGTCGACCTCCTTTCCCGTGGTGGCAGTCATGGTCTTACCCTTGACCTTGCCCTTTCTGGTTTGTACTACCAGCGGATCGTCGTTCGAATTGAGGGCGGCTGGTCTAGGCAGCTCCTCGCTGCTTCGGAAATTCTTCGTATCCTCGTAGGACATGTCCGCATGATGTCTGCTTCTGTGAGACGGCGTGCACCAACAGACGTCCAGTTGAACGAGTACCGTTAAACTTAGCACCATCAGGGCCTCGAACTTGCTCAAGGAGCTTCGGTTTCTTGACATCGTGTCCTCGCCTAAAACACCACATTGCTCGATTCAACGTCGTGCTTTTTTTTTTGCCTTTCCCTCGCGAAACGGTCGTTGGCTTTCAAACGAGTTCGAAGTTAGAGAAACGTGTCGACCGTATTCGAACGCACTCGTAAAAAGGAGTTGGTTTTTAACGCGACTCCGGTTCGTGAGACAAAGCGAGATGGAAGCCTACTGCTGTGAGAGACAAACGCAACGCAGGGTGGTTCATTTCGATGGAAACTTATTCTTTATGTGCGTCGGCAACGATCGTTACTTTCTTGAGGCGATATCGCGCGAGAACGAGATTTGGCCTGCGATCCGATTCACGTTCCATTCACATCGTCATTTCGATAATGAAAAATAGGGTCGGTCTTTGTTCGTCTGTGTATACCGTACGTCTCATTGCGGACGAATTTTCTCTCGTTGCTTTCATCTATCGAACTCGCGCTATTTACTCGACGATTAAATGCACCATCTTTCGGTACGCGCATCTCTTTGCCGTGACTCATGGAATCGGTTCGTGTAAAATTTCGAGCGTTCGTTTCTTCGATTGTTCGCGCTGTCTTCGATGTTCGGAAACCGAGCCGACTTCCCGTAGGTGTCTAAACGTTCCATGATTTTGTTCGCAAAATTAATTTTAATTTCCTTGGAAAAAAGTTCTGAAAATCGAAGGATCTCTTCGTCCGGCTGTGCACGACTGTTTTGTATTTCCTACATGTTAAAAGGAAACATATCGTGGCGATTCTATACGAAGGTCCGCGTTGATTGGTCATTTCCTTCTACGTGTTCCGTCTGTGTGGAGCGTTGGTCACGCGCGATTACACGCAGTATCTAAGTGTTACACGCGGAAGCATACGTGAGAGAAATAACAGATTAGCTGTCATCGGGAATGATAATTTATCGCCGGCTGTCTTTTCGTTTAATATTCAACGTTTAAAGACAAGTATTATCTGGTCGCTTTTCGTTTTCGTTTCCGTTTTAATTTGGAAGAACTGCGTTTTGGAAAGTGATTTAAGCGCCACCCGCAAACAGATTTTCTTGCAAGATTACCAACGTTGATAAACGATTTCTTCTTGTTCGCTAACGAATCCTTCGCGAAGATCGTTCCCGATACAATCGTCCAACGATTCGAACAAACCCCGTCACCGTTTCTTTTATCTACCATGAAATTTATTTTCATTTTCAACTGTGTTCTACTTACCGAAATCGTTAGGCAAATGAGACGATGCGAAGCTTCGCACAATGACAATTTCGTTGTTTGAAAATTTTCCACAAGGTAGAACAAGATTGATTGTCGGTTGCCCGGCTGCGTTTCGTCATACACTTTGCAGGGTGGAATCCGGGTGAAGAAAAGAGGAAGTTCGAGCTAGGGACGCGAGGTACCTTTCTATCGAGGCATAGGCAGACACAGAGGCTACGAACGCAGCCCACGTAAAAGGTTAGTTGTCCCCCTTGTCGCGGTGGCAGCATCGTGCAACGGGCGATAACTCACGAGTTCATTACGAGAATCATTGCAAGAACTAGTTATCTCACGTTCGTTTCGCTATTTTCAACGTGGCGTTCAGATCTTACGTAATCGGTCGCTTGCGGATTCAACGGACTTCTCGTAATGATCGTCGGACGTTTTTCTCGTATTTTACTACACGATTCCCCGCATCGATTAACGCTACATTCTTTCGTCTTCCATTCAATTTTACTTTAAGGTTAACTTTAAGGAATATCTCGAGTTTGAACGCGATTTGAAAAAATTCTCATTGATAGGCATGAATTTTTCTTTCAATTATACGCGTATATATTAAATATTTTCTCAAAACGTTACGAATTCTCCCCGCTTGCTAAAATGACAGCCAGATTGGAATGTAAAAATCCGACGACCGTAGCAGGGTTAACGATGCCACTATGATTCTACGATTAAGATCTATTCGCTTTATTTCGTGGAATGTGCAAGGAAGTTTCAGAACGGCTGAAAATGAAAACGATACGGAGTTCGAGTCTGTTTTCGCTTCGAAATTCGATTAGTGTGCGCGGACTATCGACGAAGAGAAGAGAGTGGAAGATAGCAGGGCGAAAAAAGGTGCAACCTCGACCTCGCTTTTTTTTTCAAGTTTCCCGTTTCTTCGGGACAGTGGACATCGAAGCTGGCAGCCACTCGGCCCAGAGACCCGTCGTTTATCCTGACTGATCGATACAGCCATACCTCTCGTTTATTTATGCTCCTTGTCGCGTCTCTTTTCGCGTTTCTCTTAATCCTCGTTTTTCTGGGCAAATCTGCACGTGGTTAGCTACTCGGCGCCGGCTTAGTTTGCCATACGTTCGAAAGTTCAGTCGGAGCACACTCGACTGATGTCGATCGTAATAATCGAGATTTCTCTCGATCTCGTGCAAGCGATTGCTACGGTGCAAGTAGCATACATATATGTATATCTAGAGACGATCGTGGCTTGTATCGCAACTTTTACGCTGGCTTTATAGGTTAGATCTATCTGTATCCTTTGCATACATCGCGATTATCTCCTAATTAATTCCTTGCCATTTTTTAGCCATTTTTTTTAGCCATTTTTTTTCTTTTCTTTCTCCTTTCCTCTTGTATCTTATCGTTGGTTTAACAAGTAAAGAAAAAATCGATTTACGATGAAAACTTAGCGAAAGCGCGCGAAATCGGATATAGAGGGATGCAATAACATCGTCGCTGTACGTATATCAGTCAATAAACGTTCTATTACGTATGCGTTCGTGTAACGAGCAATTCCGGAGAGTGTTCCGGAAAATATAGCGCCGAAATTTGCCACGGCGCTTGGAAATCGAACCGCTCGATTAAACTGGTAAAATCCACCTATGCCTCCCAGTGGAATTTCCTGCACGCGAGATTTTGCATCGTTTTATTGCAAGGCTACTGCGTTATCAGTCGGCCGTGTTATCTGCTCGGTTTATTTGTCGAAATTATCCGCCACTGTTCCATTGGAAACAGAGCTTTTTAAAGTCGCTGGTTCAACTCTGTTAACGTTAACGCGGATTAACGGCACGTGTCGTCGTATCGATTTTCCTTAAACGCGAATGAACAAAAGAAAACGTTCGTGTCGATTATTCGAATTAACCTAAGGGACCAGAAAATGTTGGCGGTTGCGTGTATCAATCATGCACCCTCGCTTTCCGCAAAGTGGATCGTTCGATAATTAATTACGCGTGTGCTGCGTCGACAGGGCGAAGAAAAAAGAATTCTACCAGCTCAACAGGCTCCCTCCGAGTTTATGTTAATTTTTGAATAAATACGGCGATATCGTAATTTTCATCCATAATGCGCGAGATCGTTCTGTACGATCGTATAAACTCGAGGCTAATCTAGACGGGCACGAAAACCCAGGGAAACGTATAATTACGTCGTCCGTATCGCGGAATGGCACATAAAGAAAAAATATATTTAAAAGCAAACGAGGTTCGAACCGAAAGTTTCGTTCGTTGGCGATTTGGCTGGACTTTCGCTGATTTCCAAAGGGAGACCGAAGGGAATGCCGCATGCGTTTTCGAGACAAGATATCAATTGGCTCTGTACTCTTGATGGCGCGATGAATGGCCGGCGTAGCGTACCAATTAGACCGGCAGTCCGTACAAAAGGCAGACCAGCTTTGATTTCGAGCTATTCGATTCGCTTCCTCGCTCCGGTCCAATTAGTTACTTACTTCCGTGGCTCCCTTCTTCTCGTCAATGCCAATCCGTTCCTTAGGCTTGGCGAATCATTTTTCCGAGACCGAGGGAAGATCTTGGTTAAACCGGAATCGGGGAACAAAATGAAAACCGAATGGAAAGAGTAATGATTTTGAAACGAGAAACAAGGAAGACCTACGAGAATCACGATTTGGCTCAATTAGGTCATTCTCATTATCCCTCTTATCGATCTTTATACATTGTACCTCGACGTCCTATTCTGAAACAGCTATCTGGACATTTTTTCTCGGATACGTGGCGGAAAAAGGACGAAAAAATAAACGGATCGGATTTTGACGGATTCATCCGTGTTCGAAAATTGTAAAAGAAAAGAAAGAGTGAGTTGCGGCGTACTTACGGTGTCTAAGTCTAGATGTGGAGATCTTAGGTATTTAAAAGTGAGGTAACGGCGAAGATGATAGCGGAGGTGGAAGAAAAGCCCTTCCTTCGATCCTGCGAGGGGCAGATCCGCTTTTCCGCCCTTCCGTCTACATTCCAAGTTCACGGATCATCGCTTGGCTGCAACAGCGGGAGTGGAAAATTGAGTGAGGAGTGTGGCAATCATGAGTGAAAAATTCGATAGGTCGAAAGATCAGGCGACCGTTAGCCCCGGGAATTACGAGATTCCGGTACATCGTCAAATCTTTCCCCTCGAAAGAATCATCGCGCATTTTCCTACGAAGGGTGAATCGTCGAAGAATATGGCTCGAATGCTACCCCGAACGTTGCGAGAAATAAAATCGAGAAATTTGATCCTTAAACATAGTCGGAATACACGTTGCAAGGATCAAGGAAGCAAGCACAGCAGAAGAGAGAAAGAGAAGAAAGTTTGTTGCTTTTATTAGAAAATCTTTTCAAGGAACGAGACTGCATCCTATCTGTGTCGTGTTCGAGCCATTAGGAGAGCCATTATCTTTGCTCTTGAGAAAATATTTCTCTTCGAGATTTTTCCCAAAGACACGGAGAAATCCGTAAGTCTCGCCGGCCGACGACGTCAAGGAAACTGAAAATCCATTCTCATTTCGCGCGTGTCTCGGATGATTCTTTAAATTACGACAGAGATTATACTTTATGCGAAAGACGCAAACGCTCTAAGATGAAACCTCGTTTTCTAGTCGAAATTTTAATTTCTTCGTTATACAAATCTCGAAGGGGAAACAACTGCGATAGCCAGGGGCACCTGATAAATTTATGACGACGTAAATAAACGAAAATCGTAAAATTATGATAACACTCGGATACGGTGAGTTCTGTTTGATTCGAATGTAGCTGTGTATCTAATCGTATCTAAT